CACACACACACACCCACTATCTCTCTCTCTCTTTCTCTCTCTCTCTCTCTGTGAGAGAGAGAGAGAGAGAGAGAGCGAGGGAGAGAGAGAACTTCGATCGATAGGATGAGCAAATCCGAGATGAATCTTCCGCTAGAACATTGAAATATACAGTGTGTGTGTGTGTGTGTGAGTGTGTGAGAGCGAGAGAGAGCAGATTCTCTCTCTCTCTCTCTCTCTCTCTCTCTCTCTCTCTCTCACACACACACACACACACACATGCCAGCGCCCCGCCTGCCGCGGCACGCCTGTGACTTGTGTTACTAGTCCGATGGCAAGACGTCCTGGGCGGACAGTCAGGGGGTCCTGGACGTCCGGACCCGGACAACTCCATTTTTAGCAATTAAATGCACGAAAAAAAAAATAAAAAAATTGGGGGTCTTTAATTTTATTTTTTATTTTAAAATTGACAACGAATTTCGATATCATCCCAAGGCAAAAGTTGTTCAGTTTATGTTTCTGCATAACATAGTTTTTTTTCAGATTTTTTGGAGGACGTTTTTCTTTTTTTTTTTCTTTTCTTTTTTTTTTGCCGTTCGGGCTCGGACAGTCTGCCAGGGGAGGATGTCCGACCGGTTGTCCGAGCGGACAACCCCGGACGGTCAGGGAGGTCCCGGACGTCCGATCAGGTAACCTAGGATTTTTTTGAATTTTCTGAAATTTTACTTTTTTTAATATTATGTGATGGAGCTGCCCGGGACCCTGCCCGGGCTGCCCGGGAGGGGTACCCAGGCGACCTTTCCCCAGCCGGGCCGCCAGGGGACCAGCCTAGCTCAAATGCACATTTCCCACTGTTGTGATTAAGGACAGACTCCTTAGGGCATGGTCGGAACCCTTGGTTCTCAGACCTATTCGAACCATACTTGCGGCACGTCGAGGTGCACGCCTCAGCACACGTCTGGTGCACCTCGCGCACCGCACCCGATGCAGTGCACAGCGATAATTAGGGTACTCACAGGGTTGTTTTGGCGCCTACGAGTCGAGCCGACCCGTAGGTGGTCGGCAGACTGCCTAAATTATTTTGTTTTTTTTTTCGGATGACATGGTCGAGCGCAGCCCAAATCCG